ATCTTATTGGCCGTTTATGAATGATGAAGCAGTGCGATATATCGGGCCTAGCTTCCGTCAATATTTAGAGGCGAGCATAATACGATTTCGATTTTAAAACACTTTAGGTTCTAAATCAAAAGTTTTAGGAAACGTACATTTATTTTCACAATCTACGTTAACTCACTTACCATATTCAACAAAAATTAATATTTTTATAAGCAAATGCTATCGTTTATTAGTTCAAATTTCACTGATACTGAAATATGTGGTTTCAAGGCGATGCCACCAGGGAGTGTAGGGTTAAGACGTGACTGACTCCATTTTTTGAGACTTGAAAAATTGTATGGTCAATGAGTTTACCCCTTGCCCTACAATATCGTGTCAGACTTGCGGTGAAGATTTCAAATAGAATTTAACAAATATAAATATTACTCGATCCTTCCAAGTTCAAATAAATATTATTTTTCTATTATTAATTGCAATGCTTCCGAGTAGACGTAGAAATAGAATAAGTGTAGAATTTTCCTCTGTTTCTAATGAATTACGAACAATAAAATATCTCTATCGAGTGCAATTGGTAAAGAAATCGTACGGCAAGGGGTCAGCAGCGAAATAGTACCAGCACCCACAGTAGTCAAAGAAATCCTAATACTGGAGATCAACGTAAATCCGTCCCAAGCAAAATTCATTAATTCATCCGAGTGTTACCGTTCCCTGTCTTCGTCCCGGGGTTCAAGCGATGTTCTTGCGTTCTCGATTTATCTTCTCGGCGAAACGCGCATTAATTTGCCCCGGCGCGATAAACGTAAATATTCTCCGGGTAGCATTTATTAAATCCGAACGACGACGCAGTACTTGGCGGCGGCAAAGCGATGGCCGGAGTGCGAGCGTGGGTGGGGGTGCAAATGCGTATCGTTCCGTTTTCATAAATCAACTGGAATATTCACCGAACCCGGGAGTCGTTTCTGCTCGCTTTCGAATAAAAAGGGATGATCGCGTCCCTGTGAAAGTTCGACAGGATACGGACACGTGGCCAGCGATAGCTCTGAAATAGTTTCGAAAACGTTTTCGAGCTGGCGGTTCCGGGGTTAGGGGAAAAAACCGGCGGAAGAACGCAAAAAACCGCGACCGGTATCGCGTCCAGAACTTTCGGGGAAAACTGTCTGGGTAGGGTGCAACGTGGACGTCAGGCCACGAAAAGCAAACCACCCCGCAGGTTTCACCCGTGGAAAAATTACGGGGCCGGGGGATGAACCGAGCAAATGAACCGGGGCTTTTTACGGCCCTCCTTTCTCGCATGACCGACTTCGGGACTCTTCGGAAGCATATATCAGAATGTCTTGAAGAAAGACCTCGACAACGAAGACCCCTGGGTTCGGGGAACAATTCACACGTACACTCACCCGCATCCGAACAGGCCATTCAAGATTGTCACAGGAATATCTAGTAACAAAGCAACCTCCTTTTAAATGCATGCTTTTCGAAGTAATTCTAACAAGGGAACTTTTTCAACCAGCACACGCCGATTTTGATGGAACTTATGTGAGATATAGTTTTGCAGAAAATATTTGTCACGTATTTTTTCTTGTCGGTCAACATCCGCTTTGAACGGATAAAAACACGCCTCGAAGTTGAGAGTTGAAAGTATATTAATATCAAAAAAAATTTTTGTTTAAATTGTTCGCCTCGAAATGGACAATTTAGACTTATACGTAGATACATATAAAGAGAATAGTTAAATAGCCCTTTATGCAAGATTCGGTATACCACTGAGGATAATTGAAAATATAGATATTTGATGGTATGAATGAGATCGAGCTATCTCATCCGGAATTATTCTGACTATAGTAGGTATACTTCTACATGTAACTGTATACAATACATATATTTATATAGTTCTACATGCAATTATATTGATATAATTACATAGTTTTACATATTATTATATATAATTTGTACTACTATATTTTTAAGTTCTTTCTTACCTTTTGTGTAATTATTACGTCTGTAACTGTAAATTATTTAGTAATTCTCAATTCAACTGTAAATAACAGTTACGAATACAGTAATTACGTCAATATATTATTTTGCGATTCCGTTTTTTCTGCAACTATTTCCATTATTTATGTACACTTAATAAAACGAGAAAATTCTCGTTGTGACTTCAGATGAATTGGAATAATTTTCAGTACTATGACATGTTTTATGTCAAACATGTTTTGTAAATTATTATGTCGTACAATGTGAAATGTCGGATTTTGCGGAAAATACAATCAAAAAATGTAAACAATTTTGAATGTTTAGAATGAATAAATTCTAATGATATCCTTATAAACCACTGTTTCCAGTTTACCACACGACTCGTTTTGCAAACAAACATCACCAAAACGAAATCTCTCAAAACAATGCTGCACTGTTCTTTCTCTCGCAATATTGTTTCCAACTGCTTTGTTTATATTTTGAACGATGTTTGCAGCATTATTTACAAGTTTGAATTCATACAAAAAAATTACACGAATGTTGGCGGTATCCACGTTTCTCTAAAAAAACGATGCAAAAAATAGATATTATGCAACAATTCTTTGCAAAAAACTACTGTGACATTCGGTAATGGAATTGTTGAAGAGGTTATATAAAAAACGAAGGAAAATCAACAACAGGGGTACAAACGTTTATGGGTAAGAAAAATTCAACATTTCATATTACATGACCTAGTAGGAACATCTAATATTGAAAATTTAATATTAGAACTACCGAACATTTAATGCGATTGGTATGTAATCCCAATAAAAATTGTAACAATAGATTATTTTCAGTTTCTTCAGACATTCATTATAGTTTTCAAGTGAAGCTAGTTATTTTTAAAATCATTTTGAATATTCAATGCTTTGAAGATATCAATAATTGCGAAATAAAAAAACCGAAATTAGTTATTATTACTAGTACGATAGTTCTAGTGTTAATTGCCATAGTGTATATGGACAAACTTCGAAGAAAGCGTTTGAAATGGAAAAGTAACTATAGACGAATATTTAACAATGCTAATTCTATATTTTTCCATTCTTATTTTATTCATTCCAAAATTATTGAATATTTTACTATTATTAAATAAATTTGTGTTCGTTACACACATTTCAATGGAAAATGTATTTCAGAAAATATACATATACGTATACAATTAATATTCTACAATTTCTTTGCACTTGATTGCTCTTAATATTAACTTAAAATATTAACTTAAACTTATTATTTAAATTTAGTCATTTCCTCTCGATTGACTTTTCGACTTCTCCGAGCATTTAACGCGATTAATATATAATGTTTATAAAGTTGCAACAATAATTTTTTTCGGTTTCTCCATATATTGATTATAGTATTGAAGTGAAACTATTTATGTTTCGAATCATTTCGAATATTCAATGCTTTTAAGATATCAATAATTGCGAAACAAAGACATCGAAACCAGTCATTTTGACGGTAGTTCTAATGTTAATAGCGATAGTGTACACTTACAGAATACTGTTTCTTTATAAACTTGTTGCTTACGAAGGATGTTACTTTAAATACATCGTGCACCATTGGAAAATCTCGGGTACTAAATATTGCATAACCAGCCAGTCAGCGCAAGCTAAGGGTAAACGAAACACAAATAGCGTGGGCGGAGTGAACAGGAATCACCGTGACATAGTTTCGTTTACTGATACAACATTTAGGTAATAGCAGTTTCGATCGACTCGTCGCAAAGACTCGAATCGGCGAGAGCGTATGGTAATGCCAAGATAAAGCGAAAATGTAGTATGAAAGCGGTCACTCAATTCGTCGTCGAATTACGTCGGTGTTCAAACCCTCCGCCTGTGCAATTATTGACTTTCGATCGAAACTTCAGCGAATTCGGTTGTACGAAATTGCCGAGCCGCCCTCGTGAAGCAGAAATTGATAGTACGCGCGTGTAAACTAGACGCGTAACGATTCATTATTGAGAAATTAGAGGGTCGTCGAGTCGTCGAGTACGCAACGGTCGTATCTTTTTACACACGCGTAAATCACTTTGCGAAGCGTTTACACTAAACTACTGAGCAGCTAAATTGAATTTTTGAAATTTCTCTACAGAAGTTCCAAGAGTACATTTGTTGAAAGTTTAATTGATTTACACTTCAGTTTGTGTGGTGCTGAATCCATTTCCTTAATCACTTCTCAGGGAAATTTTTGTTATCTTTTTAATAATTGCGAAAAGAAGAAATCAGGAATGAGTCGTTTAACCTCGTTTATAGACATTTTTATAGCAACAGATTTATATAACAATAAATTAATGTAATATGACTATTGTGAGACCGGGGAAACATGTTTTGATGAATAAATGGTATGCATCACATTAACATCTTTTTAAATCGAATTCATGAATGATGAAACAAAAATATGATATTAAACATTTTTTATGCAACGTTTACATAGCCGATAGTATAATTTATAATTTTTAATTTATATCATCTCATGGATCGCATGATAAGAGCAACCTCACACGAAAAGTAATTGTTTTGAAATCGTGAGATAAAGAATTATCAAACAAACATCTCTTTTCAATTTTGAATAATTATGCTTGGTTAAGTGAGCATGAATATATGGAAATTATAAAAGTTGATTTTATTTTTTATATGTTCTTGAAGACTGATATTTTAAAAAAATTATGAAGCAAGTTCGATATAGAAATACAAGGAATCGATAATATTTTGTACAACGATTCAGATAGCGTTGTGATTTCATTATTGTCTGAACACGTTCTTCTCAAAACAGATTTTCTTTCTACGGTATAATAATGATAATATTATTATTTTCCCATTATTGTACACTCCTAAATACACTTTTTTCAACAAAGGATATACAAAAGTTCTAAATCTTGAAAACTTATTAATCTTGTTAAATTAAAGTTTGTGAAATTTTACATGTAATTCTTTGTTGAAGAATAAACATTTCTTCGAGAATATTCTTTTCGATATTTACAATTTTTTTATTATTTACAGGATCAATTTGGGAACACAACGCATGAGGACAGAAAAGAAAAGACATATTCATACAATAAAATATCTGTAAGTGCAAAAATTATTATATAATTATTATTACGTAGATTACTATACAATTATTATTACATACATAATTGCAATAAAAGCTGGTGTAAAATATAAATACCTATATGCCATACATAAATTACATGCATACTCTTTTAAAATACTTCTTCATAATTTTCATGAAATGTGAAAAAACGTAGATAAAAGAAGTAGAATCCTTTTTCTTAATTATTTTCTTGGAGTATTGTGAAAATGTTGCGAAATTATTACATCGCAAGTACAAATAATTCGTAGCAAGCGTGATGTACATAAATACATCGTTCGCGAACATGATACTTTGGATTCTAAAAGTACAGCGTGTTTGCAGTCTTATGCTAATGGACGCTCTAAATTAAGATCGTTGTTAAATCACGCGATAAATTGTACCTTCTGCTTCGCAATCTGGCGTGTTATTAACAGTATCTAAAATTAACACGTCAAATATTAAATGGATTACATTATGTTGTTTTCGATACCTACGATTTATCAAATTATTATTTATCACGATATTGTCACATTGCTTTCGAGCAATCGAATGTATAATGATATTTTCGTGACTTGTTTACGGTAATAAAATAATTTTAATGATTTCAACGAATCTCATATGTTTAATAACACATCATTACGCGGAATTTTTCACAGATTTTTCTTTGTGTACATTAATTTGCAAAAGTAAATATTATACAGAGAATTCATTAAAATTTCATCGCGTTAGGAATAAAAGGTAAATTCTTTGAAACAACAAGGGAGTCGTTTATTTAATTTGTTATACACATTGCTGTATAATGTAAATTCATGAAATACGCAAATTAATAAATAATTTCCAGTTTTTTAAATAATAAACTATATTTTTAAAGAACTAATGAAGAAGTCGGAAATTCAGTAAACTTTAAAATACGCTAGTTTAGGATTTTTATAAATTGAACTTGCGAATCATAAATTTATTTAGAATTTATTCTAATATTTCTTTTTTTTATAACAATTTTAATGAACTCCAAATCTAGTAATACATTTATAAAGGAAAAGTGAAATATTTTTTAAAGTTCATTCATAAACTTAGCTTCATGAACTTAGTTTCGAAATTGAAACGAACTCTAAAGAATGTATCGAAAATAGTATTGTTCGTTTTCTTATAAACTTACCGGAGTGAAACTAATAAAAACAGAATTTCAATTATTAATTTTCTATTTTCAGAATTAATCATACCTTGTCTTATTACTTTCGTTTGTTACCACTAGCACCGAACGTCAGAGCTACCTCTCGTATTTATTATTTCACTGTTCCATTTATATTTATTGCGTTTTGTATGCAAGATATGATTCATAAACAAACTCGTCTGCCTGGCGGGTTACATTAGAAGGCTCTTTAGTCAGATTTAATGAGTTGCCTCGACAAAGGAGCCGCTGTCAGTTTCCTTTATATCGGTATAAAGCACAGCTTGACCATACGAACGGCTAACCTTTCCGAAAGTACACGTTTCAGGGTGTATGAAACCATGAAAAGTGATTGTTGTGCAAATATAATGTAATGCTCTGACGTAGGAAATAGGTATAACACACATTTAGTTATTTATCGCCCTTCTGGTTCCAAATTTAATATATTGTGGTACTACGTGTTGTTTGTAGAGAATAAAATCGCAGTTTACTATATTTAAAAATTTTTAAAAACGTACATATTGTGCTCTAACTTTGGGAAATTGCAAGTCATATTAAAATAGTAATATCTCGACACACACTGGCTATTTAGGACTGCGAAATATTCTGCGCTCTAAAACTTCACATCATTTTTTATCGTACAGAGTGGAAATCGTTGGCTCAGAATTAGTCCAACTCATTTAAAAATTTTGATTGGCTAGTTTATTTCAAAGTGTTACTATATTTTCCTATTTGTTTACTAAAAATATTCGTTAAAATAAACAGACACGAGATAAACAACCTAATATGCTACTGAATAATAATATGTTTTATACTACTAATTTAAAGTTTCATATACTATATTTAATATTTTATATTCTTTTATTTCATACTTTACACATACACTTTATGTTTTATACTTTATTATTTAGAACTTATACTTAACACATTTGCAACCTCTGACGTGAATTCTTCTTTTCAAATATTTTCTTTCAAAATATTTGATTCTTCTGCTCTTTTCCATTTGCCACTTCTTTAACAGGAAGTTCTTCATTTTAAACAACAGTTCGTTACAAGACTGATATTTCAAAAAAAATTTCCTAATTTTTGTCTCTGTTTTAACGTCAGAAATTTGCAGCAATTAGCTTAAGATTTTCTTCATCTTCACCGGTAATGCATATTAGAAAAGCGAAAAATTTGCGGGGCGCGAGTATGTTAACACTAAAACTATCAAACTGGTCAAAATGATCCATTCCCGATTTCTTCTTTTTGCAATTATTGAAAAGATAACAGATATTTCTCGGTGGAACGATTAAAGAATTTGATTTAACAATACACAAACTGAATTGTAAATCAATTAAAATCTCAATCGATGAATTCTTGAAGTTTCTATAGAGGAATGTCAAAAAGTCAGTTTAATTACTCGGTAGTTGTAGTGTTTATATTGTGTATCTTACAGTTTATATTGCATATTTTATTATGTACGCTAAAAGTGATAGACAAAGCTCTTAGTGTGGCGGGTGCTCCTTTACGGTTTTGGGGTAAGTGCAGCGCTGTCTAACGCAGTCCTCTTACTGAAAAGCACCCTCGCTTCACGGACTCTATGGCCAGATTCTCCGGGAACAATGTCCTTATGTTTTAGGCAGCACAACGTCAGGCTATTTGCCATTCCCAACTTTCACTCGCCACTCTCTCATAAACATCCCTGTGCGAACCGATAGTTCAATGACCCAATATACTCGCCAACCCCTACCTGACAAGTTTTGCTTGCAAGTAGAATGGCAAGATCTTCGGCTCATCGACTTAACTCTAACTTCAATATTTTATGAGATACTTATGAATAAAGTTTTCAGATTGAAGAGACTCGGAGTTAGAATCATTATTCCAATTTTTTTCTTTATTTGTACACAATACAATTATATTATTGAAAACAAAATTTTATTAGAATTGTAATATATAATATATAAAATATTAAATTTGAAAATTTATATGTACGTTAAATTTAATTTCTAGAATTTTCTTATTAACAAGTTGTATATTTCTACCCAGATATTTATTTGTTAATCCTAATAAATATATTTTAATTCGTAAAAGCAACATGAAATAGATCATTAAAACTGTGAATCGTCCTCTTTTGATTTTGTTAGAATTTGAAGTTTTCAGTACTTCCGCTACTAAATCCTTTCGAAAGAAAAAATGCTCTCCTAACGAACGTGAAAATCCTATAAAAAATATCGAGACCGACGTGAAATACGTACCCGACAGTCCGTGGTATGGAATTATTACGAAGCATTTGGATTCGTTACGTGTGTGTCCAACTTTGACACCAAGCGTAACGATGCATCACGCTAGAACAACATAAATCGACTAATCTCGACGTTGACTCGATTTGAGCTCCGACGAATTCGCAAAAACACAGTGCACCGTAGAAAATCTCACGTGTAGAGTACACTGAAAAAGTATTAACGTATTCGGTCCTTTCGTGATGAATTTGTGTTCAAAATTAGCATGTTAATTTTCTCCATGTTTTTCAGCATTTCATTGTACAGACAAATAATTTTTTCATTTAAAAATTAGTCAATAATTTACCATAGAAATGAGTGTATTATGAGAAAACCGAGAATCTCTTGGTAAAAGAAGTGTCGGTATTACCAGATATTGGTGTTACCTAGAAGAAATTTATTATCGGACAAAACCATATAGATTACATTAAATTTATTTTACATAATGAATAAATTTTAAAATTATAAGTAGAAAACCAGAAAATAAAATCACACCATAAATTATCAATTTTAAGAATTGATAAAGAAACAACAGATATCAAAATTTGTTAAAAAAGAATTGCGTATATGTTTGTCTGATTTCACTTGAATAAGAAAATATAATCTTTATTAAACGATAAGATTAAAATTGATAAAAAAATATACTTGTATGTATATGTAAATGTGTAAATAGTACCGCCTACCGTCTTAATATAAATATAGGAATACCCTAGAAAAAGCAAAGAAAAAGAAAAACACAAATAAAAAGTTTCCAGGGCATATTTAACAATTTGTAGTAACATTCTAATTACTGGTTTAATTTAATAATTGTTTACCTTGCATGTTTAATGGAAGGATAAAGTAATACTTATTATGATGTGCTCCATTTAGTGCACGCAATGTTCAATTTTTTTCTCAGAAAGGAGTATTCACCTGTGGTATTAAAGCCAGTAAAAAGTAGGTTACTTCTATTTAAAGGCAAGCATAATTAGATTTTCTGGAAAAAAAGCTTTGCATTGGATATTTGTATTTTTCTTTCAAAAAGTAATTTTTCTGTATAAAATCATAAACCACTTGAAATTCTTGGACTTAACTTTATTTGATAGTTAAACGTTATTCAAATTGTTGAAAACAAAAATTTGTCGAAAATACTTAGCCATATCGGTTCTTATTTTAAAGGAATTGTTAAGATCTTACGTTGAAAAATTATTTTATTTAATTTTCTCAAATAATTCTTCTTCGCGTGATATAGCGATTAATTTATTAATGATCACACACTAACTCAGCGCCTATCTTTTGTAACGATATCATTTAGTTCTTCATCAATGAATTTATCAATGAATAAAAACCTTCTAAAATTATCATTTAAGAAATGAATAAATTACAAGTACTGTTATAAAAAGAGCCCAAAATAATGTTTAAAAAGTAATAATTCTCCGAATAAATGATAATCGATAAATTACAATTTTATTGAATAGTGACTATTCTCAGTGCATCATTACAATTATAATTTTATTCAAATAAAATTATCTTTGTTATTCTTATCTTTTTTCCACTGCCCGCTTTATTTGTTCGGCCCAGGAGTGTG